AGATGAGCACATTCAGGAATGTGTCTGGAGGACTCAACTCGGGTGTCACAGTTACTTTAGTTTCAAGAGTGAAGGAATTCACACCACCTCATATCCAGCACCACCGGCTACTGCCTCCCTAAACCAACAAGGGAAGGAAAAAATTGTGACACCTAGTTAAGTACCTATAATGCATTTAATAAGAACTGTGTGTAAACCAGAATCGCATGTCCCCAGGGCACAACTCTGTTGCATTAGCTGTTTGTCAGTCATCATGCTTATTTTAGCTGGAAATGTTATCATTTGGGACCTTTTTCATGGTTTTAAAGGTTTAGGAAGCTGGCATTTATTTCAACATAGCCAGCGGTACAGAAAAAAATTCCACTGACTCAGATGGGACTGATTTATTATGGAACAGCTCTTGAAGAACTTCAGTAAATCTGAACTCAAAATCTCATCCCTCTTTCACATACTTTTAATAAATGTACAGCTTAGCAGCAAGATCTTGAATGAACCATGTTCTCTCTTGTTGAGAGCTCCTAACAATCTTCTCTCCTCAATACAAAAGCTGCGGAGATGAGACCTGGTGAACAGAAGGAAGCCAGGACCACTTCACTTTTATTCGCTCTCCGGAATGCAAACAAAAGAAACCAGAGCAAGTCCCTGCCTGCTGAAATTCCAGGGACTTGCACTGAATTACAGCAAGGCCTGGAGGCGTTTTGAATCTTTTCTTGTATACATCAGCCCTGCACTGCTCCCAGGCAATTGTACTTTAAGTTAGTTATTATTAATAATAAAGGTCTGACTACCAATCATTCTCATTAATTTCCATGGCAATATTGCCTGAACCAAGATAAATGACTGGGCTTTGAGTTGCGTAACCAAAGTTCGTACTGTGAAGGAATGCAATCCAGGAAAAGCGTTCAGATGGTGGGGAGGGACCAACCTTGCATAACCTCCCTAAGGCCCAACTTCCCTTCATATCTGGAGAGCCGTCGTCCCAATTTTCTGAAAATATTGAATGGTTTGCACTTTCAGCCTCTGTCCTCTGGGCTCTGGTCTTCAGCATGCCTCACAGCATTCCTTAAGCATTTCACCCACCCATTTATTCATTTATATTCTTTCTAACGATGCACTGCTGGAGCTTCCATAAGAGAAGATGTAACAGGAATATAAACAATAATAGAAAAATTTAGAAACATATTACTTTCCTTTTCTGTGTCTATCTCTTTAAGATTATTGTTTCTGCAGAAAACAGGCAAGGCAGCTACCACGATTGATTTAGACATTAAATTACGGACTTTCACTTTAATGGTTTCATTCTATCAATAAACTTTGAATACCTCGAAAAGGCCAGATAAAGCTTTTCTGGTTATATAGCTGTTTGGTTAAGTAGAATAGTGGCAGTCAGTAAGAATTAAAACACTTCCCAGAATCTAAAGAGAGGAATGTTAGGAACAAAGAAGAATCTGAGTGGGTGTAAATTCCTCGCCCTGCTATGCTGGTAGGATTATATCTCAGGCTTTCAGAGCAGGAAAAGGATGTTACAGGCCTAATGGCAAGGAATATCAATCAGATAACTAAATCTAATTACAGAGTTACTAGATTAACTAGTTAACTTCAGCTACATGAAGGCAACTGGCCAAGTGCCACAACAGAAACCAGATTCAGAGAAACAATTTCTCAACACATTAAACAACTTCTTGCAACGACTAGTTTCAGATCAGACAACAGACTATTCTTGACTAACTTTAAAAGACACATGGTTTGTGTAAGAAAGAACTGTGGCTGAATCACTCATTAATAGCAACCACAAATTCAGCCTTCCTAAAGAAAGGATTGTGCCAAAAGGACAGGATAATGACTCCAAATTTTAGTAGAAAGATTTATTTTCTGAGGGAGTAAGCCAGTAATAAAACATGTTCTGGGCAAACAAATTGCCTTAATAGAGTCATTGAAGGAAACAGAGGCATGGGCCCCTAATTTTCAGGTCCTTATTTTAACACAGTTTGTGATACAGTAGCACTGTAGAAAACATAATTGCATTTCTTGCTTTTAGTACATGGCAGTTAAACCATGCTAGCTGTGGTCAGAGACAGAACTCTCAGACACCCCCAACTGCAAAGCCCCCCAAGCTGGGTGACCGCTGGCTAAAGACCGAGACAGACCAGAGGCAGAAAGATGCTGGAGCAGACGATTAGCCTAAACCGGGCAGCTACTCACTACTAATGAAATGACGTAGAACTTGGTCTCAGGAGACACCATCTGTGATCCCAGGCTGCAGTTCTTTGCCCATTCAGCCGAGATAAACTATGTCCCAGCCAGGCCTCTGAGGCTGTTTCTCTCCCAATCCTCTGCTTAAAAAAGGAGCAACCCTCGCTTCCCTCCTGGTGGCATGCTGTGGCCATTGCTCTGGGCTCTCACCTCCAACTCACCATCACTCCCTCCCCTCACCCCTTGCTTCCCATCGTACCTGGCACCCACTCAGAGCCCCTGAGGAGCCACAGGCCCAGGCAGAGCCACAGCCTCACCCCCATGAGGGATATATATATATAGTTTAGGTTGGAAGGGATCTCGAAGATCATCCAGTTGCAATCCCCTGCCCTGGGCAGGGACACCCCCCACCAGCCCAGGTTGCTCCAAGCCCCGTCCAACCTGGCCTTGAACACCTCCAGGGATGGGGCAGCCACAGCTTCTCGGGGCAACCTGCACCAGGGGCTCACCACCCTCAGAGTAAAGAATTTCTTCCTAGTACCTAATCTACGTCTCCCCTCTTCCAGTTTGAAGCCATTACCCCTCACCCTGTCGCTACATGCGCTTGTAAGAAATCCCTCCCCATTTCCTGTAGCCCCTTTAGGCACTGGGAAGCACTGTAAGATCTCTCCAGAGCCTCCTCTTCCCCAGGCTGAACAACCCCACTGCCAAACCCCCGCACTGAGGGGAGCCGCGAAGGGTTACAGGACCAAAGCGCTACTCAGGAACGGCGAGGGACGAGCACGTACCCACAGAGGAGCACCACATCCCGCTCCCCACCCCGGGCGACCGCCCCTATATGTGGGTGTGAGGGGGACTGC